TTTTTTTCTTGTTTCGTCTCTTGTTTTCCCCGCGGAGGGAAAAAAAAAAAGCTTGGCCGGGGGGCCTTCCCCCCCCCCCCCCATACTATGAGACCTTATTCCTTTTATTGCTCAAGATCCTCTTTCTCCAGAGTATTGAGACTCCCACAACAGCTTTGCCTTTGTCCCTTTTTACCTATGCATGCTGGTTTTGTTCTCTTTTTCTAACGGTTTGAATGCTGTAACAGGCACATGCAAGAAGTCACAACTGTCCTGGGCAGGGAGTCTCTGTGGCTTCCGACATCAGCACAGAAGCACTTGATGCCCTGCTCACTAATAAACACAAGCTTAGCTGGGAATAATACTAAACGAGGTCTGTTTCCTATAGGGCACATGCAAGTGGCATGGCAGTGGAAGGAGATAATGGGAAAATATTCCAGCAGAAAAGGAAAAGCCCCCTTTTGAAACTCGTTAGGCCAGGCCTGCAGACTTGGCTAAAACAGCAGCACGTCCTCTCGAGGAGCAGTAATTGCACAGCAATCACAATCTTAAAATCTGTTACCATGTGGTCAAGGTGCCTAGAACAGCAAAAAATACACAGATTCAGCTGTTAGGGATTTTCAGCCCAGATGTTCAGCCGATAGCCTGGGAAGCGCCCTTTTAGCTGTAGCTACAACTTGATACTCTCTGAAATACAGTAGAGTGCCTCGGTCTGAGACTGCGTGTTTATTGTACATTGGGGTGGTCAGCAAGTCTCTGCCTGTGAACAAACAGTGTGGAGGGCCCAGGGCCTCTGATGCCCAGGCTCTGGTCCAACAGATGTGTTTACCTGCCGTACTCTAGGAACTATGCAGAGGATTCTGCTGAAGATGAAGGTGAAGAAGGTGAGGAAGCTTCTGATGAACCAGATGCTGAGGAGGAAGAAGAGGAGGAAGAAGATTATGAAGTTGCTGGACTGAAATGTAAGGCTTTGACCATGCAGGAAAGTAACAGAAAATATTAAGACAATTAAGTCCACAGGGACTTGTGCTTTTCTTCACACGGAACAGGTTCTTACTTGGGAGGTGTCACAGGGGAAGGCTGTGGGGGTGCTGGACGCTACCTGGGGAGCTGGAGTGAACTCTCGTCCCTTTGTGATAGGGTCAGCGCTAGCAAAGACTGAAACTGCAGCCAGCTCTCGCTCGCTGCCCAGTCGCTCCCCTGGGAACGCTGCTGAGACGGTTAAGAGCACTGTGAGGCGGTCAGCAGAGGCTGCAGCAGGGCAGGGTGAGGCAACAGCATTATCGCTTACTGGTATTGGCAGTCTCTGTGCCTACAGGGTTTGTTGGTAAACTGGATGCTGTTAATAGAGGCTTAGGGAGCTTTAACCACAACCCCGTCTCCTCGCTTTTTTCCTTCCCACCAGCTCATAAACTCTTAAATGCAGGATTTCTAGTGATTGGGCAAGGAGGCATTTTCAAATAGTAGGACTAGCGCTTCCTCTGCCCATTCCTGTGGGAAGGCACAGTACTCGAGGTGCCGTGTGGCCTGGACCGCCAGCACCCTTTGTTTGCATACAGAGACCACTTGGGGTGCATAACTGGCTCATTCCTGGGCAGCTGAGTGGAATAAAATAGCATTTTCTAAACTTCTCAATGACTGCTTCTCCGCTTAACCACTTTTTAGTATGTGTATCCACTTTGTTTTTAGAGGAATTTGACTCAGTCTCATTTGGACGGCTTGATGCAGTGAAAAGATCAATCTTGGAATGGCACGCTGCCAGTATTTGCTTTCTGTCAAAATGCCCTTGACTGACACAAAATTAACTTCAGACTGTCTTAACCAGGGCAGATGGTGGAATCTGGAGGCTGGGACCCAAAGGATTATCCCGTGTTCTTTCAAGGGTTTCCATCCAGGTCTATCAGTCTTGATTCCCGTGCTTTATTCTGGTTTCAGGGTTGTTCACTGATCCCCTGGCTACGGACACCGCTTGTTGTTCTGCGGTGTATCTGTGTCCACACTTGGAGCATGTTCAACCTATGTTGCATGGCCAAGTCAGGAGCTGAGCCAAGGTTTCCAAACAATAGCAAAAGAGGGTTACAGTCACTAAAAATAAAGCGCTAAATGCAACCCCTGCTTTTAAAGAGCATTAACATGGAAAGGTCACTGTGGAAAACTTTTGTTTTAATAGAGAAGTCCCATTAATCCTCGTGGCGTTTATCCTGAGGGATATAACCTAGAATGTTGGATTGTCAGACATTTAACACGTGCCGCACGCTTGACACACAAGCAGAGCGACAGCAGGCAGACGTCCCACTGCCCTGACACACGCTCCTCGTGCAGGGGGCCCGGCAGGATGATTTATTGGACAGGGCTGGATTAGAGGCCGCAGATGAAGTGCTACAGCGCGCTGGATACAGCTTGCTCGAGCGCTTGTGACCAGGTGGAAGGAGCTTGGCTGGGGAAGAAGGCTAACACATTCTCCTGATACAGAGGGGTCATGGGAGAAACTTAAGACAAGGGAGTGCGTCAGCACGCTTGCATTTCCATCAGCGCGAAGCTCTGACAGGCAGACTAACAAACGGTCAAGTGCCTTTCTGTGGGATATAATGCAGCAGCCCCGGTCTTGGGGAATAAAATCCCATTGTTTCCCACTTGCAGCACGTGGAGCAGCTCCCGGCTGCAGTAACTCGACACTCTCCCTGCACACAGCTCGCTTTTCAGGGGGGCTTAGCAACTGGCTTATCCCACTGTGTGGGCCGCTTGTAAATGCTTGGAAAAGCACCCATCCCCAAACCGGTGAGGAGCAAGGGGGCAGCAGGAAACCGGGGAAACTGCAAGTTTCTGTTCCCGGTGCTTCCAGAAAGGATGGTGCAGTTATACTTGAGACAACTGTTTGTCCTTGCATCGCTTCCTCTGCCCTCCCTGAAGTCGCAGCGTGTCAGCGTCTCCGCGCTCGGCTCTGCAGGCAGAGGGGCACGCTGTTACAGCCCTGGGCGAGCCTTACCTGCAGCAGAGGAGCTGGAAGGAAATTTAGGTTGGATATTAGAAAAAACTTCTTCACCAAAAGGGCAGGCTGCCCAGGGAAGGGGTTGGGTCTCCATCCCTGGAGGGATTTAAAAGATGGGTAGACGTGGTGCTTGAGGACATGGGTTAGTGGTGGGCTTGGCAGTGACAGGTTAATGGTTGGACTCGATGATCTCAAGGGTCTTTTCCAACCTTAACGATTCTATGAAGCTCCCAGGTCTCCCTCAGAGCCCGAGGGTCTGCCACTGCTGTTGGCTGGCATGTGTGACCACCCTTTAGCAGAAGGCTGTTGCCAGACAGCGATGGCCTCTTTTTGGACAGGAGGCGATGACCCGCGTATCTCATCTGGAGAGGGTATCGAGAGCACAGCTGACACGAGCATGTGCCGAGTGACGACAGGCTGACAAGAAGCTGGGTCGTTGCAGTCGTCCGTGGGTTCACCAGCTCCTCTGCGCTGCGAGCGAGGGTCTGCCTGGCGTTGGTGTGTAGGGCTGGGCAAAGGGCTTGTGATCTCTGCTTCCAGCTTAACCCATTCCTCTAAGCCCATGGCTTATATGTTTCAGTGAGACCCAGAAAGGCAGCCCGGGGCAAGCAGAGCGCAGCCATGTACTCCTCGAGGCAGGGAAGGCACCAAAGGAAGAAGCAGTCGCTGCACCCTGCCAGGGGACCCCGGCAGCGGGCTGCACCTGTCAACGGCGCAGACATTGATGAGCTGGTAAGAGCCAAATTGCTCCCCAGAGGCTGCTCACATCATGAGTTATAAACGAAACAGGTGTCACGCTTCCTCCCCTTCCCAAACAAATACCCTGGATCGTATTGTGAAACCTGGGCTGGGCTGGGGGCGGGTTAACAAAGGAGGCATATCCTTAAGGGCCCGCTGCGAACGGAGCACAGATATGCCAGGCATCTCTCCCCAGCCGCTTTCGCACATTGTCCCCCTTGAGTAGCAGGCAGCCTGCAGCTTGTTAAAGGGTTTTAAATAGTATCCATATGTCTCTGCAGAGAGGTGGGGGGACTGAGGGGGTCCTGGGTGGTCAGAGAATGCCAGCAATGTTGGACCCTTGCTCCCCAGCCTTGGCCATTTTCTGACAGTTGTTGTCCGTATGGTCACTCCCCAACCTCCAGGACATAATTTGGCTGGTTTAGGTTTCACTTGACATTTAAAGAATAAAACCTTATGCTCCTGAACAGAGCAATCTTGTGTGTGCGTGCATGTGAGGCGGGGTGGAGCTGCAGCGTGCTGGGCTGTTTGTCCCGGGGAGGGACACACCACAGGGGATACGTGAGGATACTCTAGCCCCACAGGCCACGTCACGAGCCTCTGCTAGATCTGCCATCTGTCCGCTGGCCAGCGCTAGTAGTGCTGGTGTACCCTGTCACTCTCCTGGAGCAGCCTTGATAACGGTCTTTGGGCTCGCTGCTTCTTGTGCTGCCTGTGGGTGGGCTGGCTACTGGACCGGCCGTGTCCTTTGAGCTGCTCTGTTACAGGTCGGAGAGCGAGCAAGCCCAGCGTGGGCTGCCACAGCCAGCGTGGAGGGATGTTCAAGTGGGGAAAATCTTACTGGAACAGCTGGGTCAGGGTCTCTGACAAAACACTGTCTTGGGGAAGAGAACTCTGCTAGGGCTCTTTCGTGGACTGCTTGTCCTGGGAAGAGACCGAAGCTGGCTCAGGAATAGCGCCCTGTGTTGTGGAGCCTTCCCGTCATCCGACATACCCTGAGCAGCGATGCCTCGAGAGCTGTGCGTTCAGAGCCCCGGGGATGTCCCTGCGCTGGTGGCTGACCTGCTGCGGATCCCCGGGCAAATGGCTGACCTTGTGTTCAGCCTCTGTACGGGACAGCAGCGCTTGAGGCATCAGCTGCTCTTTGGTATTTAAAATGGCACGGTCGGCTCTGCAACGTCCGTACAGCAGCACAAGTGCTTTCTCCCTCCGCCTCTCGCGTGCTGTCCGCCAGGGGCTCGGAGAAGGCAGGGAGAGGGAACTCACACTCTCCATTTGCTGTCATTTATTCTTTGGCTGCTTGTTTTGACCGTGTTGTCTTTGAACCTATCTTGAAAAAGCTTGCTGCCCCCAGAGAAGAGACAGGCTGCTTGTGAGCTATTCCCACCAGAGCTTCTGGATGGGGCTCCTGTTCTGTAACTCAAGCTGCCGCTGCGTGTCTCGGCTGTTCCCATCAAAAGTCGCGCAGCAGAGCAGTTTGCCTCTCGATAATTGTGGAAGATGGCTGCATTTGAAAGACTTGAACTTTGTTTCTGCAGCAGTACTACGTATCCCCCCCCCCTTGAGACGCTAGCTCGTAAGTGAGAGGATTGAAAAGAAAAGCTCTGCTAAGAACCAGCTTCTTTGGCCTCAGAAATGTTTGCTGAACGCTAAAGCCCGTAGTGGTTCCCCTCCTTTTAACAGCGTCCTTTGTGTGGGCAGGTCCTTCAAACAAAGAAGACAGCACGTCGCCAAAACCTCGAGTTGCAGAAGTGCGAGGAAATCCTCAGCAAGCTGATCAAGTACCGCTTTAGCTGGCCCTTCAGGTGAGGGCAGGTGGCCTCCTCCGTGGGCGCAGGACTGCCCGCGGGCAGTGCGTAGGTGTGGGTTGGCCATGCTGCAGTCCTGCCGGATCCCACTTGCTTGGCTGCGAGACCGGGGTTTCAAAAGCAAGTTACAGATGGGAAGAAAGGGAGTGAAGCTGCTCCAGAAGAAACCACCGCGCTCTCAGTCCTCTGCTGGGCTGAAGACGTGGGGCCCTTCTGAGGTGGTGTCAGAGAGGGTGGTAGGCTGCGGGCCAAAGAGGGGAGGCTGGGGTGGGTGCTTTCTGCAGCCCCCAGGATTTGCAGGGCACCCTGCATGCAGCGTGACTGAGAAGGCAGCCATACCTGCCACGTGCCGGTCCCTGTGCCTGGGCCAGCTCTCTGGGCAGAAGGGCAAGCCGCTGTCCTTCCCGTCGCCGTGCCGCGGCCGCCGCGGGGCTGACGCGTCTGTAGCGCTGTCGAGGTGCTGCTGGGGTTACGGCACTGGGAGGGTGCAGGTCGGGGCTGCCGCTCGAGCGAAGAGGACGGGGGTGGTTCTCGCTCCTCTACAGCTCCGCACTGCCTGCGGCCGGGGCCGTCATTTTCCTCCTATCTTTGTGGCTCTTTGTTCGGCAGGGAGCCAGTGACCACGGAGGAAGCCGAAGATTACTTTGAGGTCATCAGCAACCCTATGGACTTCCAGACTATGCAGAGCAAGTGCTCTTGTGGCAATTACCGCTCAGTGCAGGAGTTCCTCTCCGACATCAAGCAGGTGTTCTCCAACGCCGAGCGCTACAACCAGAACGGGAGTCATGTACTGTCCTGCCTGGAGAAGACGGAACAGTGTTTGATTGACATGGTGCACAAACACCTGCCTGGCCACACGTATGCACGCAGGAAACGCAAGAAGCTCTCTGCCAGGTGCCAGGGACTGGAGGAGCAGGAAGGGGACAGTGAGTCAGAGCCCCTTGAACATTCCCGGGGGCGGAAAAGGAAGAAATGAGGGATGGGGAGACTAGGGGGAGAGCCAGAGCCGGAGCAGGCCTTCTGGTGCTGCCGGGCAGCAGGATGGGTTGTCTGGAGGGAGCTGGGAAGCAGCAGACACTTCTCTATTAATCCAGCCTTCCTTTTGGCCCGTCCTCGTTTTAATTTTTCTGCAATTTCCTCAAGTATTTGGTCATCCACTGAGTGAGCGGAGATGACTTACTGCTTCCTGCAAAATCCACAAAGCTCTGAGTGAGCCTGTCCTGCTAGGAGGGGAAGGTGGGAGGGCAAGGGGAAGGCCTGGCCAAAGCCTGGCTGGGCAGGGGAGCGCGAAGCCTACTCCAGCTCGGGCGCTGTTGGCTTCCTTGGGCCGAGCCGCTTCCTCCCCTCCGCGAGCAGCCGGCGCCGGAGCGCGGTGGGACCTCTGCCGTCTGCTGCCTGTGATGTGAAACCGGCCTTGAGCCGGTGCAGGGAGGGATCATATTGCTTCACGGAAGGACTGGGTGCGATCAGGCCAATGGGCTGCTAGTTCTTGTATGTATATATTTATATGGTGTTAATTCTGAGCCCCCAACGAAGGGCTGCGTAGGGCAAGCAAGCACTTACATTTATGGAGATACGGCTTTCACCAGCATCCTAACACAATTGGCTTCGAGGTGCTCTTGCTTTTCCCCTCTCTCTCTTCTCGGGGAGCGATCTCCGGAGGTTGCGCTCCGAAGAGAGTTCTTCCGAGCTCAGCTCTTCGCACGTACGCGGCAGAGAGGAGGCAGTCGGCTTCCCTGCTCACCTTGAACAGCACGCGATCATGTAGCCCTTTGGATGAACCGAGTGCCAGAAGCATACCGGAGAGCGTGGGTTTCTGCATGCCCTGTAGGGAGCTCCAGGGCAAGGGGAGCAGCAGAAACATGTGCTGTGTAACTTTTTAAATTAATTTTCTAGGTAAAAGTGGCTTGTTTCTAGCTGTGATCTTGTACAAAGAACACCTGTAAGATACCGTTGTCTTGCTTTGGCACATGTACAGTTTATATGAAATCGTGTTTGCTTTATATTTTTCCCCCCCTCTTAAAATTCATTTTCCTACCAGTAGCTGGAGTTACACCGGGGGACTTGTTGGCGGGGGATCTCCCAGTCCCTCTCTGGCCACGCTCTCACCATGTTTTATAGTAAATCCTTCCCTCGCTCGCCTCCCTCGCGCTCCCCCAGCGCAGCGAGGACCGGCCCGATCCTGCCGGGAGGCTGCTCTGCCGCGGCCCCAGCGGGGGGTCCTGCCGCCTGAGACACGGGCTTTTCTCAAAGAAAAAGGTGTGGTTTTCCATCACCTCTCCCTCTCCCTCATGACAGGTTTTGATCACACAATCAGGGCTTGAACTTCTTATTATAGAAGTCTTCTATTTGGAACAAACCAGTCGCAGGGCTGCTTTATACTGGTTTCGTAACAGAAAAGCAAAAGCAGCTGTTGCGGCTCCTGGGATTTGAGAAAAGAATCATCGATTAAAAATTGCCACCTAGTTTTGTGAACTTCTTAGGGGTGGGGGTTTGGTTTGGTTTTGTTTTTTAACAGGTATTCATTTCAGTTCCGGGCTGCCGACGGCTGCAGAGACGAGGCGGGGTTCCCAC